ACCCCGAACTTGATGAGCTGCGTCATGACGAAGAGGACCTGTTTCTGCAGGCCGAGATCGTGCGTGTCTCTGTACAGCTTCATGGCGCCGATCACCAGCGGCTCGAACATGCGGATCAGCGACTTGCCGCTCCTGTCGTCATTCGCCCCCCAACACCATAAAGTGAGCTGCGCGCAGTCGTGCGCGTGTGCGGTGGTGCGGTGGTGCGGTGGTGTGCGCGGTGGTGTATGCGGTGGTGCATGTGCAGCTGATGGGCGGGTTACCGGATGATTTTGTCGGCCTCGATCAGGGGAATGGGGAGGTCCACCTTGCTGTAGAAGTCCTCCGACTGGGTCTCGCGGAGTCGATAGGGGTGCGACAGGAGGGAAGGCCGCAGGGACGGAACCTTGGAGGCGTCCTGCAGCGAGGCCGCCATCGCCGCGTCCTCATCGAAGCCCTGGTACAGCTGCTCGTAGACACCCAAGTCTGCAACAAGATTAATGATTTATTATTTATTGTTATATTTGTTATTGTTATTGTTATTGTTATTTATAGTGTAAATAAAGCTGGTGATGTGTACTGTGCGGGTGGACGATGGCCTGGTGGGATTTGTAGTTGGCGTCGTGGAAGACGCGTTGGACTTGGGCCTTGGACGGTTGCACGGGGTGGAACGTGACCATGAACAGCTCCAACAAGCACGACATCACCTCCTGTATGCCGGGCGGTCACCAATGAATTGGTGATCGACGCCCGACACACACACCCACCCACCACACACACACACACATACAAGGCGTACGGGAGTGAGAAGTACCTTCGGGGAGAGGAAGAAGTGGACGTTAAGGTGGTTGAGGATTTCCTGGGCGAAGGGCACCACGTAGCGCCCCACGTTCCTGATCAGCATGGCCATCGCCTGCGCCACCACCATCAAATCGGAAGCGTGTGAGACACTGTGTGGAATGAATACGCCAAGAATTCAACAAAACGCGGGGCTCGAGCGAACCTTGAAGCAGGACTTGCGGAGGAGGGAGAACTTGTCCTGCTCGAAGGAGATCAGGGAGGTGGAGAAGGTGCTGTGCAGCTTTTCGTAGAGTTCGGTGTAGACGCCCTGGGTCGCGGCCGTTCCCAGCACTGCGCCCTTGGTCGCCGGCGATGCTGCGCATACCAGACCAAACAATTCGGCCATATGATAAGAATAAGGAATAAGAATAGTAAGAAAATTAATAAGACAGAAATAGTAATAATAGTAATAATAATACAAATATGTGCGCACCGGCGAGGTCGGCGATCATGGCAAAGCCCGAGGCAGTTTCGGGTCTGGACTGGGGTGCCGGCTTGCGCTGGGCGATGTG